AGCACTGCCGTCTCCTCCTTTGGCCATTATTTCAGCTTTAGCTTCAATAAAGTTTTGGTTGTAAACATTAAAGCGCGCATGTGCTGCCGGCAACTTCAGCAGATGATACGTTGGCTGGTAAGGGTCACCGCGCCTACACCACAGCCACGGTAAACCCACCGAGATAATATAGTTTTTTTTAAAACAAGACGGTTATTATTATTGTCAACTTTTTTACCAGGGTTTACCGCTACACCGGTTACCGTGACAACCCCATAGTGTACCAAATTTAGTAATCCTCAGTCAAAGCATGGCTTGGGGCTGACAGTTTTAATGGTCCTAGGGGAGCTATTTCAGAAAATAGGCCACGCCCACCAGATTTTCACATCAGATTTTTTTGGGGGCCGGACTAGGATCACTCACAAGAAGTTTCGTGGCGATATCTTTAGAAATGACGAAATGGGAGGCAAATGTAAGGCCATGGCAGTACGCCTGACTTTGCCGCGCCACCACAGCCCCGCCTTCTGCAGAAAACTCCCATAAAGTGACGCCAAGCATTCCCCACTTGTCTTGAGTTACCAGCTACAAATTTGTGGTGATTAAGTGAAATGGGGCGATTTGGGACCTATCACAGTAAAACTTGACCTTTTTGGTCCTGAGTGGGTGGGGCTTGTGTGATGTCATCATCCGACCATTCACTATACTTTGTGGGTGGATGACAAATGACTACAGAAATTTTTGTAACTCTGTTCCATTCATTTATGAAGTTATAGCAATTTAAACATTTTTGGCGAGTAGTCAAACTTTGAGGCCTGGCCCCGCCCCTTCAACATATACGAAAACTTAGAATCCTTGTCTCATTTTGTTCGCCTATCCCTTCTGAGCAATTTTACACAATTTTTGAGACGATCGTGCGAAAAATGATCGAGCAATCCAATCAGAAACGGACCCTAAAAACGGCCAAAACGGCTTAAAATCGCCATTTCAACCCAAAGTGGCCGACTTTCTGTTGATATTGACCATGGTTGCAAGAGACTTTTCTGTGCGGACTGTTGAGTACCAGAAGTGTACCAAATTTCATAACTGTACGATAAACTAAGCTTTATGGAGAGGTTTTTTTTCACATTCTAGGGGGCGCTGTTCAGCCATTTTCTTTGCGATATTTTTGGGACCTTTAAAATATCAAATTTTTCACCAGGCCTGACATGTTTGCAAAATATTGTGAGTTTTGGGGTATGATAAGGTCCCCAAAAAGCCGTTTAAATGGGCACGAGAATAACAAAAAATAAACAGAGCAAAAACAAGAGGCCTTCGCAGCGCTTTCGCTGCTCGGGCCTAAAAATGTTGTGTGTGGTATTTGTGGAGTTAAAGTCAGCTGAGTCTGTTACGCTGCGGCACAAAAGGCAACACAGAGGCACAATAACAAAATGGTTAGCTTACTTCAGAGCTATATTTAGAATATCTCAGTGCTTCACTTATTATCAAACAGATGTTATCCTGCTCTGGCATCTGCAGCCAGACTGCAACAAAAACAAAAAACATCAATAGTTTTATCTTGCTGTGCAGAAGAGCTTGTAGTTTACTGTTGCCTTGTTAGTTTTGGTGTTTGCAATACTTTCAGTTTAAGCAGTAAATCCCTTCCAATAAGCTGTTTATTATTGCTGTATTCCTGATCTCATTCTTTTGGTCATTACTCAAAGTTCATGACCATAGGTGAGGGTTGGAACAGAACAACCCGTAAACCCAGAGCTTCTTGTTCTGGCTCAGCTTCCTCTTCACCACAACAGACCAGTTCAACATCTGTATCTCTCAATCACAATCACATTTATCTGCAAAATGTGTAAAGCTGTAGGCAGCTCTCAAGAGCAATCGTATAAAGATTTTGCACAAAACATGGCAACCATGTAAATGGTAAATGGCCTGTATTTGATATAACGCCTTCTAGAGTCCTGGAACCCCCCAAGGCGCTTTACAACACAACCAGTCATTCACCCATTCACACACACATTCACACCCTGGTGAGGATGAGCTACGATGTAGCTACAGCTGCCCTGGGGCGCACTGACAGAGGCGAGGCTGCCGAACACTGGCGCCACCGGTCCCTCCGACCACCACCAGCAGGCAAGGTGGGTTAAGTGTCTTGCCCAACGACAGTGACACACTGAGTGGGGCTCGAACCTGCAATCTTCCGATTATGGGGCGAGCTCTTAACTCCTGTGCCACCGTCGCCCATGTAAACTAGGGATGCACAATATATCGGCATCAGTATTGGTATCGGCCGATGTTAGTCATTTTTAACATATCGGTCTAGGTCCGATAAATAAAACTGGCCCAATATTTACAACCAATATTTTTTCCGTCGTGTTTTCATTTGTTTATCTGTTTCAGAGGGTGACAGGGGTGATGTGTATTTGTTTAGTCATGTGACAGTGGTTGTAATCACCTCAGAAACATAGATGTGTTTGGTGTGTGTACATAATGTAAATTCAGCTTTAACAATTTTCATTCTATACAAAATCTGCTAAATTTAGGAGCATTATTGTCAGTTTATCGGTATCGGCATATTTCAGTTATCAGCCATAACAGTGGCCTTAATATCGGATATCGGTATCGGCCCAAAAATGTCATATCAGTGCATCACTAATGTAAACAATGCAGACAACCATGGCAGGCACAGATGGCACATAGCAGGATCTGACATCTGACTCAGGTTAGAATGCTGGTGGCATGGAGGAAGACGTAGATTTTGTGGACTAGTTCTGGTCTGCAGGACTCAGTCCAAGGTGTGAGGGGCCAGCTGCAGCCTTTCCTGCCCGATTTCTGGTTCTTGATATGTACAGGTGCTGGCTGGAGGGGCACCTGCATTCTTTCTGCTGTATCACATAACGCTTGATCTAAGGCTAGTGATATGTTTGGTGAAACATTGAACCAAAAGGATTTTGAGCACCTCTACCAAAACAGCTGACTTGCCTTGGTGGCACACTATATAACAAACAAATGAACAATGCAAACGCACCTTGACTGTAGTCATAATGTTTCAGACTGCTGAGACCAGAATCTTTGGTTAGGAAAAGAAAACATAAGTCAAAGCTTCATACATTCCCTTTATTTTGACTCTTTTTAAATTCTGTGGAGACTTTTAGATCTGCATCAGCAATGATGCCCTCATTTAAACTCCTCAAGGTTCAGCATCAAGTATTAGAGCTGCAACGATTAAGCCTGATTCATGCTTCTCCGTCTGCGTCAGTGCGGGGACACGCAACGTCCTTGCGGGCCTGCCGGAGAGCTCCGCAAGGACGGACGGAGTCAAGCCCTCTTTTCTAAACATCCATCAGTCGAGACGGACAACGCAAGCTTGTGATTGGTCAGGACGCCGCTGTTGTCTACACCGCCGCCATTGCGCCCTCAAAAACATAAAGAGAACCGAGGATAACTAGCGGCAGACACAGAGCAGCTTGAAGAATACCTCATGAAAAAACTCTAAAAACATGAACGTTTAACTCCCCCGTGACTGGAGGAGTGAAAAGATGCGCAGCAAGCATTTTATTTGTGGACGGAAATGACAGGAAACGTGGGTTTGGACGTGGTGAGTGCATGAAGAGGTGGAGGAGGATGAGAGACAAATTTGTCTGTGTTAAAAAGTCTCTTATATACAAAAAAACCCACAATATAAACACACGATCTTGGACCGATACACGACAGGATACCACAGAACAGCGCTACGCCCTCTGTGGTCCTGCCGGGCAATTGCTTTGCAACACTCTCCAGGAGACGAAGAAGTATGAGAGCAACACACTTCTGTCAATCCGTGCGTGTCTGTCCCTTGCGGAACTGACGGAGAAACATGAACCTGGCTTAAGTCAACATAATGGTTGATTGACAGAAAAATGTTTTTCTTGTCATCACATCATCAACAGATTCTTCCATTGAAAGCACCAGTCACACAGACCCACTTACTGGTTTTTATAACCGTAATGCACTAAGTGATCACTGTTCCACCAGCGAAGAAGATTCCCTGACATGGACAACACTGTGAGATTAATGGCGAATGACACTGAGGACGGTGTGTGGGCATGCGCCACTGAAAACAAAGTTGAATTCAGATTGTGGAAAGGAGACACGACAGCGCCTCTGCACTGCACGGACATCTGAAACACAATCAGCTGCAGCTGGGATCTGTTTATTTTTAAGTTTTAATGAGTGAAGTTAGAGTCATATTGATGCTTTTAATGATGATGAACTGAAATATTTATATCAGGGTTTGATGGATGATTGTTAACAGAACATCATTTCAGTAATATTTATCAATGTGTTTGGAATTACAGTAAATGGGGCCATTTTTGTGTTATGTCTGTGTGTTTAATATTAGAGTGGATTATCAGTAGACCTCCTGTTTAGTTAGTTTATTATTTATTTGTTTCACTGGTCGTTATTATAAATTGTTTAAAGTTATATCAAAGCAGAGACTCGGGGTGGCCCAAAAGCATTTTGACCATGGCGATAAATCTGACGACAAAACTACAAACTACAAAATGTTGCTGATGTTCATTCATCATTTCTTCGGCAGTAATGCTTGAAATCTGTTTTATTCCTTCCCAAATTCTGCTTTTTCAGTTTTATTTATATGATTTCCACATTTCCATGTTAACCATATTTACTAACCTAAAAAATGTGATATTTCAACATGAAAGAACAATTAAACAAATCAGTAGAATTTAAAAGGTAACATTAGCTTTCACAAATTAAGCAAAGTGCTGCGGTTCTGCATGACACTGAGTGCTTTTACAAGATCTTTAAAATGCATTTCATAATTGTTTATGTTCAAAATTCGGTGTTACTGTGTTTGCTGTTTATGTTAACAATTACAAAAGGCGAGAGATGCTGTCTGACAGAAGAGAGAAAGTGGTGGACGCTGTTTGCTTATGTCCAGAGAGCAGTAATGTTCAAAGAAACCTGTTGGGTGTACTAGACTTCATAATGCTGTGTCCCCCCCCCCCCCCCCCCCCACACCTCTGTTTGCAGCGTTTTACCCCAATAAGACGAAGCTTTTCCATTTTGCCAACAAGAATGTCTGCTACAGTAAAATATACTTTATGAGTACACCTTTGGTGAAATATGCCAGAATCATTCAAAACCTAAACCTTTATTTAAGTGGTGAATGATGAAGATGTTTGAACACCCAAACACACAAGCTACAGCCACTCTGAGGACAGTTTGTTACAGAGGCCGTGAAAGGTGTAGTCACACCACAGCACTGAGGAGACACCTGACCTGTGGCCTGTAAGCTCCGCCTCTCCCCTCTGACATCATGGTTCTGATCAGCCTGCTGTCTGTGTTAGCACAAAGCCAAATTTAGCTCTGTGTAATCATTGTGGAGAGAGCTCACATGCTGACTGAGGATACCTACCCAGTATAAACACACCTGCTCTGTGATGGGCTTAAAATGAGCTTCACGTGCACCTGAAGGGGCCTGCACACCGCCGTCATACCACACAGACTGTAGGTAAGGTCTCCATTTACGCCTTTGCTTAGTTCGCTGGGCTTTAGGAAGGCTCTCTGTAGTGGTCTTGTATTAATATTTTCTGTTTCACCAGTCTGTTTGGGTCACTTTTTAGGACATCTAAAAAGACGTTTAGCCGTCAACAACATCAGTGAGCTTTACAGGGTCAAGTGTTTTCTTGACTGTTTCCCACCTGGATGTTGTGAACCTTGAGGTCATGGGTCAATCATTGATAAACTCACTAACACCTGCATAGTTGAGGGTGTTTTAGAGTTTTTGATTGACCGAACGTCCCATTGCAGTGTGTACTGAGCTGTTGACATGGTTCTCATCAGGGATTTAGCAACATGCACACTTTTTATTGTTGTTGCACCGTTATTGTTTACGTGTGTTTGCGCTGAAGCTCAGCAGCTTGTGCGGCAGGCAGTGAAGCACACACACCAGTCACCCTTGCAGTGAGAGTAATGTGTTGCTTTTTGTTTTCCTGGCTGAACTGAATTTAGTTAGAAATGGGTCCATTTGAGTCTTTTATTATCCAAAACTGGCTTTTGTCTCATCTCCATCCATCTCACCAGTGCACTTTCTGTGTTAGTTACACACCACACTTGAGTGAGCAGCTGATGATTACAGTCTTTACAATTATTTGCCATGATGTCACATTTTGAGACACTTCATTTGCATATTTGTTTTTAAACAAAGTGTAGTTCTGCTGCAGTTCCTGTCTGAGCAGAGACTGAACTATGGATCTGAAGTCAAATAGAAGCCTCTCTGATTTTATTGATATTTTGAGGGTCAGTAAAGCCTTTTATTGTATCTGTGGTTTTTCTGGGTGTTGAGCTACTCCTTTAAAGGCTTCGTGGTGTGGAAACAGAAGAGGAGGGGGTGGCATGAAATCTGGGGCAGAGGGTTGATCAGTGCCCAAGCCCCGATTACAGGCCGGCCCCCGGTGTGCCTCACAATAAGATAATGCTATCTCGACCCACAGGTATTTGGTTTCAGTGGAGAGGGTAATAACTGTCACAGAACACTGAGGAGACCTTTCATCTCCGGGCCTCGTGTTGTCAGCCAGCATTTGTGTGCAGTCTCTGCACAGAGGTGGCCTTTGTGCGGTAGGGTGAGGTCGTGTCACCACGATGGCCTTATATCTGCCCATAGAGACAATAGGCAAGTTTGATTGAATCAAACAGCCATCACTATCTAAAAGGGTAGTCAACATGGCATGTCCAAGTTCCTGTGGTGCAACAGAGGAGGTGACGTAGTTCTGACTGATTTAGCTGAGCCCTAGAGCAGCAGAGCTGATAGTGAACTGTAACAAGATTCAGTCGAGGCTTCAAACAAAGCAGACCTACTTCGTTCCTCTTTTTTGATGCGCGAACATCACATTGTCGTGGTCGTCCAGCACCATGTGGTCCACCAGGTAGTAAAGAAAGTTAAACAAACGGTTAAATGTCAGACCTGCTCAGAGCCTTGTCCCCCTCTCCTTTCAAGGCTTCAGCTGCAAATATGATGTATTCATCTTGGAAACGAGCAGCAGTCCGTAATGTACTGGTGCTTTTTTAGACGTGATATGAGCGTCTAGTGTTTTAGAAGTCTTGTGCGGTGACTCAGACATCATTCATGTCTGGAATGAAACTCATATTTAGACCAAGATGGCAAACAGCATGGAGCCATTCAGCCTAACTAGGACTAACTTTCCCTGGGTTGTTTTTTTCTATAGCTATTTAAATTCATTTAGTTTTCTGCAGTGTTTAATAATACATCTTAGCAAACAGTAGTTTAAATAAATGGTTTTATAAAATAATGAGAAATACTAAACTAAACAGGTGAATGTGTTGTTTCTTAAAGGCGTAAACCAGTAGATCTACTTTATTGGTGTCTTCACCTCTGCAGATGTCCATCAACTCGGCAGTACGCCATGCAGCCTCGAAAAAGAAGCAAATGCATCCTTTTTCAAAATAAATTACTTAATAGTGATGTGTGGGTCGCGAACGAGCCGACTCTAAGAGCCGGCTCTTTGAAGTGAACGACCGGAGCCGGCTCGTCATTGGGAGCCGCCCCCTCCCCTCTTCCTTTAGTGAAAGCTACAGACGATTGGTCAACATGTGTAACTGTGTGTCCAGACTGTCCACACACAGAACAGTAGGGGCGGGGAAGAGGGAGGATCAGACTCAGACACACAGCAGAGCACATGCGGGTGGAGGGAGACGAGAGGGAATGAGGAGGAGGAAAAAGGAGAGAGAGAGAGAGAGAGAGAGAGAGAGAGGAGAGTGCGACGAAGACGGTGAGAAAATGAGCGCCAGCAGTTGGAAAGTGGAGATTTCTTAAAGTGTTCAGTTATTAAATCCATAGAAATGATAAATATTTGATATATTGCATTTTTTACATTAATACATTATTTTACATATATTTTTGCATTATTTTGGTTATAAATGTACTCTACGCAACTGAAACTCTGAGGAGCCACTTGGGAGCTGAAAGAGCCGGCCCTTTTTGGTGAGCTTAGCCAAAAGAACCGACTCTCTCAAAAAAGCCGTAATTCCCATCACTACTACTTAAGTTCCTCTGTCTGCTCATGTCTAAAATAGCACAGGTCTAAATAGTCCAACGTTATTGAAAAAGCGTATGAAGTGGAAGAAGGCTGGAGCACTCGGGTCAAAATAAAAATATTTCATTAGTGCAAATAAATGAACTAACGTTTCAACATTGCTGTCTTCGTCAGTTTGTCATTTGAATGAAGCACAGTGTGTAAATTCTTAATTTAATGCTAAAGCCATTTGAAATGAGCACCGTTCCTGAGCTGACGCCATCTTTGTTGTTTGTCACAGCTCTGGCGTTAAGCCCATAGGGAGCCTAAGTCACGCCCACCTACTTCCACACCATGGGTCCCCGGAAGAACGAAAAATTGAATACAAGTCCAGGGTTTTTCCTGCATTCAAATCTGCGTGATGGCCGCCTCCAGCTAATTTTGTGCCGCCCCAGCCTGATTTCACTCTGCCCCAGCTATATGGATGTTATTTTAACTGCAGTTGCAGCGTTGCGCCACTAAAGGGGCGCTATATTAGCACCGATGCACCGAAAAGCACTAAAACTGCTGCAGACAAAGATCAAAAATTGCTTTTCTCGCTAGTTACATATCTATGGTTGGTGCTATTGACATCCTGATTTTCCCCCAGGCTCTTCCATATCAGTGCAGGGCTGTACAGCGCGACAAATAAAACAGTCTGTGCGTGTCTATTTTTAAACGTAGCACTGCAACATCTTTGAATTATTATTTTCCCCAGAACTTTATTGAAAAAAAGTAGGTTGTGTGTAAGAAAAATGCTTTTTACTGGCGCACAGTGTGGTAATCTGGATGCAGTGGAGGAAAAGACAGGAACCATCAAAGGCAGAACCAGTCCAAAGTTTGGGATCAAAAGTGCAGCTACATACAGATTAGCTAATGCTAAAGCTAAAGGGTAGCAGTCTCGTGATCAAGTGGTGCACAGAAAAATATATGATGATCGTAAAACTAAGAAAGACTAAACTCTACAAGCAGATGAAAAGTCCCCACCATACTGTTTATTCTGCATCCTGCAGCGCTACGGGTCAGAACCGCTGCAGATACGAGTCACATTACTGCTGCAAGTCTGCTCCACACACAGGAGCAGGAAGTACGGCAAGCCGTTGTACTATATAATTCGCAAACGCATCTATCTTTGAACATAATTGTTTGAATGCTGAAAAGCATTCAAACTATTGTTTTCCTGTTTCTCTTTATTCTTCCATATTCTGCTTCCGTACACTTTTTGAACCTCTTCTTCTCCTTCAAATTTTGAGCTATTTCAACCATTTTATATCAAAATGTTCAGCTTGTTAAGCTCTTTCCGGCTATTACTTTTGGCATTGATATCTTTCAAATTGTTCGAGTTATTAAGCTTTTACTGCGAAAATTTTCCCATTGAAATGAATGGGATTGGTCAATTTTCAGCAAATTCCTATCACTTTTTTGACCTCAAACTCTATAGGGTTCCTTTTAACTTAGAGACTTCATTCAAAGTTTAACAAACTCACAAGACTTTCCCGTTTAACATATTAAAGAGGCTTTTTGATATCTTTTACGGTTTTTCTAAAATCGCAGGTAGAAGTTGAGGTACGACTTGAAATTTTCAGAAAAATTCACAAAAGTTATAATGGGGAAAGATAGGACCAGTGACCCTCCCTTGCTCCATTTCCGGCGTTGTCCCGAGAGAACCGTAGGTCCGATTGAAATGGGACACACGCTGGCTTACAGTTAACGAATATAGCTTCGTTTTGAGCTATAATTCATGACTGTACTCCAAACACTGTGGTCGTACGGTTTGTTTGTTTGAGAAAATTCAAATTTATAAAAATGTCTCCCACTCTAACTTAAGAATTCCTCACTGTACCTTTTGAACTTCACATCTTCTGTGAACAGCTCTTTACTACCCCCAGACCGTTTGGACTACCAAAACAAATTATAACTCAAAAAGTAGGAATTTTTGTCCCCCCCCTCACACAAAGTTGTCCCCCCTACAAAAGTTATTGTAAATGTATAAATGCTATCAGTAAACCTGTATTGTCTTCTAAAACCACAATGTAAAAGTTAGTCTGCAAATACAAAACAATGTGTTTTTAATTCTTGAGAAATTATAGTCCACCCCACCCCCCTCCAATTCCTCAGGTTGGTACGGTCGGTCCACACGAGCTGTTTCCAACGGGCGGGGCTGCCGGCTTTGCCTCGCTCACAGCTTCACAGCAGCCCGCAGGCTCACAGGAAGCGGGAATCAAAAAGCCAGCGGTTTCCAGCAGTAAGTCAATTATCTCACGCTTGTTCTACAAACTTTAATATGTATGTCAAATGTGGTCATAAATGATGCAGGTAGATGAGAGACACAGGACAGGGAAATAGTTCAATAAAAACAAGAAAACAAAACTAAGTGTTGAAAAGTAAAATGTACGTAGATTTATCTCCACTACACACATGTAATATTTATACATTTGATACAATTCAGATCACCTTCAAAACACAGTCACACACCCAGGGCCGTTTCAAGACATTTTGGGGGCCAAGGCAAAATGACCCCCCACACACACACACACACACACACACAAGATATCATACAAGAGAATTTAAGGTGAAGCGCTTGCACATACTGTGTTATTGTGTGGTTTGTTCTGTGTGTAGAAACACGTTCATTTTGATTGGCCGTCAGAAGGTGGGAAAGTGCCCCACTCCCACCCAGCCCCCTGATTGGTTGAGAGAGGTCAATCATCTTCTGGCTAAATGGAATTACACACCCACACATGTGAGACATCAAATCGATCGGCTAGGCCTAAGGAATTCATCCATCCATCCATCCAGCCAACCAACACACCAAACAACCATCCATCCATCCATCCATCCAACCAACCAACCAACCAACACACCAACACACCAACCAACCAACCAACCAGCTCTATACACTTAAAACTCTATACACTTAAAACTAGCAGCATAGCTGACATTTTAACACTAGTCAGAAGGCAGGAACCGCCCCCTCCTCCTTCATTGCTCTCTCATTGGCTGAGAGTTTTCAATCGTCTTCTGCCTAAAAGGAAATGTGCACCCACACGTATGTACATCAATTCAACCTGCTTGGTCCCAGGAGTCTTGTATTAACTTGATATTGTGCTCTGCATTACCATGGCAACGTGCTTAGCAACAACATTTAACAACATTTTAGACACAACTGTATCAACATACTTTAATATAGAAATGTTATTCAAAGTTTAAATGACTCATGTGTTATTGTACATAGCTTTATTAATGCAGACTTCTGTCATCTGTTACCATGGCAACACAAGGAACTACAAATCACTTTAACCAAGTCTCATAGGAATGAATAGAAAAAGAAGAATATTGAGCCATTAACAGACTCCTGTTTTTGAACTGTTTGTACTTAAAACTAGAAATAAGTTCAATTTGATTGACCGTCAGAAGGTGGGAAAGTGCCCCGCTCCCTCCCAGCTCCCTTATTGGTTGAGAGAGGTCAATCATCTTCTGGCTAGATGGAATTACACACCCACGCATGTGAGACATCAAATTGATCGGCTTGGCCTAAGGAAGCCATCCATGAATCGATACATGCTTCTATCTATCCATCCATCCATCCATCCATCCATCCAATAAACCATCTAACATCCATCCAACAATCCATCCGTTATTTCATTCATCCAAGTCTTCATCCATCCCATATCAAATCTGAACTATTCTCATTCAAATGCCAGCTGTTTAACGTTTCAAATTTTGAGTTTTTAAAAAATGTTCAAAGATTACAATTGTCTGCTGTTTAGCATTTTGATCCATTCGTCGCCTATATTCTGAGCTACATTTACGCTTGTTGGTGATTTTTGCTTCTAAATCTTTAAATACATTCAGCTCATTTTGACAGTTCTGCTTTGTTTCAGCTTCAGCTCAGCTGTTCGGCGGCTTCAGCTTACAGTTTTGGCTGTCCAGCATTCAAACAGCATTTGTGCAACAAATGCAATTTTTCTAGTTTAAACTGGATTATTGCCAACCCATACATAAGAGACATGCCACCATTACATTGTTAGCAGCAGAAATTAAATGTTATTACCATTTTCAATACAAGTGCATGTTAATGAAATGCATTATATTTTACTGGATATGTTTATGTGTTATTTTGACTAAGATGAGTGTTATTAATACAAACCTAAAATGTTACTGAAATGTAGGTCAAATATTAAAAATATTTTTAACTATAAATATCAGTTGGGATAAAGGGAACTAAACACTAATCTAATGCATATTATTGAGCCTTTTATAATATTTTGCCTTTAAAAAAGTGAGGCTGTTGAATGCACAGAGTATGCATGCAGGGTTTCCCTTACATAGGCGTAGCCGTGGCGGCCCGCCATGGCTGAAATCTTACCGCCACGCCTACAAGATCCCAAGATTTATTTATTTATTTTTATTTTTTTTGCGCTGTTTCCCGAAGAAGCAGCGGGAACTATTATGTTGTCACTTGTGATCACAGCCGGCGGGCAGCAAAAAGAAAGGAGCAGGCAGAGCAAGGTGAAGTTACAGCATAAGTTACTGAGTTTAAAATGAGAAAGGTAGCAGTGGATATAATGCTTTGTGGTTTACATGTTTCAATAGCATTAAGATAAACGTGTGTTGACGATCTTGACAGGGTTTCCTCCAGTGCTTATTAGGCCAGATTTTCACTTATTCATGTAAAATTTATTTATTTTTTCATGTCTGACTTTAACCGCATCTAATACTGTATTACGGCGTGAGCGCAACAGCGACAACTTAAGATCGATGCATGAGCAGCGTGAGAGGTCGGGTGTTTTCATCTGAACCCTTAAAACCTCCAGCAGGCTACGCTGCACTATTGACGTTTTAGCGCGCGGCACTAACAACTTAGCGACGTGACATGTCTCGGAGAAAGCGTAAAACCACGTTGGACGCTTCTTCTAAAGCGGGAAAATAACGCTTCTTCTTAAGCAGAGCACGACGTCGCCTCGGCTCGTTCACGGCCGAGCCGGTACCGGACTGGGCTCGATAACTGACCCAGCACAGCCACCGGGTCGTTGGAGCTGCCCCGTGACTGCCTGATGGAAAACCAGCGGGTTTCATCAGACTCGTAGTTTCTTGTTTTTGCTGGGGACCCCCTGTATTTTACCGCTCCCTCCTGCAGTTTTCCCCTATTAAAATTTAAAATGATTCTGTAAACTCCGTGTATCAATAGAAAAAATCTCTGCCTCTGCCAGCTGCAGTAAATGTAGTCTCCAAATAATAAATAAGAGGTGCATTCATCCGTGTATCTCCTTTGATCCGCATTAGTGATATTCTCAGCACCAGAACAATGAAGCAAAGAAAGATTTCTGAGTTTGTTAGTAATTTTATTCATTAGGTGCATCTGACCTGTGCTATTTTTCTCTGAATCAAGATCAAATCAGTGCTTCTATGGGTTGTCTCCACTCTGCACTGGAAAATTTTACTTTATTTAGAGACTTGTCATAATTTCTCCCCATAAACACAACACTTGTGCTGCAAGTCTTTTTTCTTTCTGTCTTGAAAACATGCTTCCATTCCAAATGAAGGTGATGTTTATTTTTTACTGGCCGACTAGTCCTTGTCTTTCCAAAGAGCCCTAATAAAGTTGTGGGGTGTTTAGAAAAAAAAGAAGAAGAAGGCTGATGGAATAAGGTATCCAGGCCGGGTTGTCCTCGTTTAGTTTACCTGCAAAGGTGAAACACAAAGCGAGGTATGGCCAAACTCTGGTCTGTTGTTAGGTCTCTAAGTCCTGTCCTTCTTTGCGTGTCTTCTACATGTGCATATTGATGGCTCTCTATGCTGACATTCAAGATAAGCCATGCAGAAGCAGCTACAGGTAACTGTTGTCCCCATAACACTAATCCACATTGACATTCCTCAAGTTAATTAATGGCCAGTGGGGGGTTTCTGACGTAGAAAACCTGCAGTATGGAGCACTGAGGTAACTAAATACATGAAGTTGCTCATTGGGCTCATGAAGCTTGAAGGATGTGACCCGTTTTAATTTTCTCAGCTGCATTCTTCTTTTCTCACATTCACGTCTGAGCTCCTGTTCTGCCTCGTCCACCAGCAGCTTCACCGGTCACGTGTGTTATATCACTTGTTTTTCTGTGGCGCACCTCTTCAGGCTCAGCTCGCACCTGACTGGATGTACAGGTGTCGACTTCACAGCATTGTGTCAGTCTTATGAGTCATGCTGTTCAGCATCAATGAGGCGTTTTAAAGTAAAAACATCCCGCAGAAGGACTCAACATTGTTGCTTTATATAAAGAACAAACCATTTTAGGGAAATCTCCTGCAGCTTTTGGAGAATTCAGGCAGCTTCGAACCTTGCTGAACTTAACCACTTTGTTTCTTGTTCCATACTAAAACTATGTACGTATATCAAGTTTAACTTAAGAGACTTTCCATGGGGTTTGCACAGTTGGATTAAATGTCAAACCACAGTTTTTCTCCCTCAGAGCGCTTTGCTGTTAAAAGCCATGTGTTCGCTGCTCTAGCAGCTGATGGGGCTTTACCAGACTGCCTTTCATCTCTTTAAAATAAGACTGTAAAACTCAGTTATCATCACAAGACTTTTCTTATTGGATGAGATTTGTTTGACATGCGACGGCCCGTGCATTGCCAGTGACTCCCTATTCAAACTGTTTCAGTTAATGGACTGATTCAGGGGGAACTCACTGAGATTCATCTACTTTATCTACTCTACCTAACCCTATCCTACCATACCTTCTGAGATCTGTAGATTCTAAGGTCTAATCTGTTGTAATCTGGGGGATTTCAAGAAAGTTCACCTTGTAAGATGAGCCACAACTTGGTTTTCTAGTTCATTCATTCTAATATGGGGCTGCATGTTGCCGCAGTTGGTAGCTCTGTTTCCTCACAGCAAGAAAGTTGCCAGTTTGGATCCCATCTGTGCAGTCCCTCTGCATGGAGTTATCCTGTTTACTCCATGAATCTGTGGGTTCTAATCTCAGGGTTCTCTAGTTTCCTCCCACAGACTCGAGACGTACATGTCAGATTGATGGAGACTAGATTGTCCCTCAAAGTGAGTGTGTGACTGGTTTTGTCTCTGTGTGTCCTTGTGATGGACTGGAGACCTGTCATTGTTGTCCTTGCATTTCGCTGGATGATTGCTGGATGTAGACACCAGCTCCCCGTGACTCAAGAACAATCAGAGGTTTGAATATGGAGGAATTTATTCAGTCATTTGTTTTTAGATAATGAAATCATTTTTAGAGATGC